TGACATCACACACAGACCATGCAGCAGCAGAGATTAGAGCTAGGCTATCCTCTGTCAAAATACTTCACACCACTCAAATATGCCCCAGCAGTGTTGAAATAGATACCAATTGATTGTGGAGTGATGGCTCAATTGTTTTTGTTCAAACTGAAAACTGACTAGTCCTGTGTTTCATGAACTTTTTAGATTCCATCTTTTGATTTTGAAATAAATAAATGCACATAAAATGGAGTTTTCATTGAACTTCTAAAGCCTGCTTCATAATGTGTCTTACTTGTCCTCACCTATAAACCCTTCTCTGTGGTTAATATTTCATAAGCTTATCTTGGTTTTATTCAAACTGTTTACATAGTAGTGTTATTTGAGCTCTAGATTAGTATATTCTTTTGTTTCCAATACATAGATTTCCCCCATGCTTCCATTTTCAGAGGTTCATAAATATTAAGACATTCTGGAGAAGGCTTTGCAGTGGGAATATCAGCCCTGGTTGGCATCCCCGAGACAGACCCTGATTCCACTGTTTTCTAATGGCAGAAATTGGACATGCTTCTCTAAGTTCTAACTAGAAGTTTTTAACCGAGAAAGTGAAAGAATTTTGTGAAAATTGAAAGTTACATTTTTTAAAATGCATTCTGAAGATTATGGGGATTCACCCATACACCCGCTGATAATTTGTGTTGCTATAAGAGATTTATGGTGATGAGATATCTTTTTGCTGTTAGATCTAATCCTTTCCTCAAACTCCACACCAATTAAAATACACCTCTTATGCCGCTGAATCTTTGCAGAAATCTGGAAGCCCACACTCCTTCTTCCCCTTGAAGTGAGGCAGTGACTCATCTGGGGCTGGTGCCAGCTGATGTCCAGAGAGCTATGCTCAGCTGCCGCCCTCTTAGCCCTTCTCACTGCCCACTGGCATGATGGACATACTGAAAGTTTTCTTCACAAAGCACATAATGCAAGTACTTCACTGTGCAGCCCTTTTCAAAAGATGTGGTTACCTACATGTTGCTATATGATCCGTGACTATCCCTAAAGCCTAGATCTAGATGAGCCATCACGCTTGTCCTTGGTAACTGCTTCTGTGGCGCTGTTTTTGTAATTGCTAGAATGACTGTATGTTCTGGGCCTCGTGAACCTGCAGTTAAGGGCAGAAAGATATGTCATGTGGGGATGCACAAGAGAGACTGTCCCATTTAAGACACTGTGAGTGCCTGCATGATTCAGACAGAATGTACTTTGTGCTCCAGTTAAGAGAAAGCAACTGCCCTTGAGTTTGAGTATGAAGAGGGCCTCCCTGGACATGAGAAGTCCTGCTGGCCACCCATGTAAACACAAAGAATAAGCTCTCTTCATATTCGTAAGTGACTTCCATGAGAACCTACTTCTAACTGCCAATGGCAGCATATTGTTTTCCACAGTCTAATTGTGGCTCCCATGTAATAAAAGTCTGACATATTTTTTCTTAACAGATAAATCTCTAAAATTCGTTTAGTACAATGAAGTGAAGGGAATCACTTTACCTTACACTAGAATTGATATATCCTGAAATGATTACTGATATATCAAGTCTGATAAAGTATGACTTTTTACATGATGACAAATTAATTCCATTTAAACTTAATATTACATATTTGGACATTACATTGATTCTAAACTTATTTAAGTGCCGGTTTTTCTCTCCATGTACTTTGGGTCACTAGTGTTATTAAAATAATTATAATGGCTTAAGTCATCTTACATCTCCAAATGGGCCATAGCAGAAAGTTGGCTGTCAAATTAAGCCTGTGTTCAGTTGTATGCTTAAGTCATGCTCTGTTTTATAATTCAAGACTAATAGCAAAATTTTAAAGGTATTGAAAATAAGCTGCTGCTAGTGACTGATCAAACTTAGAATAGGCCTGGGAGAAAGAAAAGAAATAATACTTTTGCAATACATTGACTATCTTATAGAATTGCCAAATATATTTCCCTTCTCACAAATGCATTTTCTGGCTGCCAAACGTACGTCTTTCACCAACTCTGCGTGTAAACTTAGTACGTGTACAGGATTTACCCCACTGCCTCTTTTCTTCTTTCCCCTGCTGGATTTGCATAACTCTCTTTCCCTGCAGCTCTCTGGCCTCTTGCACCACCCGTGTTACTCCAGTCTCACAGTCATGTTCAGACTGGGGCCTCTGTCACTTCCCTTTTAAGAGAAAAACTTAGAGCTTACTCAAACCTTTCATCCCCTCTAATGTCAGAGTACAAAAATTCTCTCTACTCTGAAGCAAAAAACACTTTTCAACCTCCCCCCCATCTTGGTTTGATATATTGAAAACCAATAGTACTCAAGTAAGGGAGGATAAGCAATGACCAGGCAGAATGACATTTTAAGTCTGCTGAGTAAGGAACTCCAGCAGGTATTTGATTTGTGAGCTTCCCAAGTTAGCTATCCATCCTTCCCACCTTCCCTGGCTGGAGACTGGGGCTAATGGTGCTCAGCTCATAGGGCTGCTCTTAGGATTCACTTAGAACACATAAATATAAAATTAGATACTCTCCATTGTGGTAGCTATTATTTCATCAAAGTTTGAAGTCAAAGAATATTATGACTCTTTAGGCTAGACAAAATTCTTATGTACATTTAGGTAATGTGGAATGAGAGGACTCGCATATAGGGAGAGAAATAAATGGGGACTTAATATCTTTATGATTTTTTGTGGCTCCTGAGAGGTATTTTCTGCTGGACAGTGTGTGCAAGTTAGTGTCTAACTTTACTAAAGCCTCATTTTATCAAAACCAGTTGGACATGCTGGGTCAAGAGTACGAAAGCACTCAGAGAGCCTGATAGGAAGTGCCACTTACAGGAGTATCTTCGTGCAGAAATAATCCCACATACTCTAAAAAGTTGCAGGCCACATATGTTCACTACAGGAAAACTTGTAATGGTACAATCAAAGCATCATAAACAAACCAAAAAAACCCATCAAACTCCCAAATTAGGGAAACAGCTAATAAAAATCCATTCATGCACTGTAATAAATATCTGTCCATTGTGGAATCACACAGTTTAAAAAGTTTGTGATGACAAAGGTTCAATTATAAAGAAACTGAATGCACAGTAAGATCCCAACTGTAGAAAAATATGCACAAAGTAAGGAAAAGCAAACAACAAAGTGTAAAGGATGAGTACCTTTGATAGAATCGAAGACATTATCCTTTTTTTCTGTATTTTACTGAATATCACATATTTTCTGCAGTTAGTAGGCACTGTTCTATGTTGGACTATAAAAACTAAACTATATCTAAAATGTTTAAACCTCCATCATTAATTTTCTGGAAAGAATGAGGGGTCTCCCACCCCTTCTTTGATGTTTTCTTCGAGAGACTAACAATTTCCTCTGTATGCTGAATATGACTGCAGAAAGCCAGAGAATTAAATAAGAAAGAAAGCCTAATTGTCTCTTATGGTTACATTCCTCTTACCCATTAATTCTGGTTTCAGACTTGTATCTACCACAGAGTGTAATAATTTCCTACCTATTCAATGTAAATTCACAATAATCTATGTTGGCCAAAACATTATAAAGAAGCTATATGTTTGCATTCCTCGCACATTCTTCACTTCTAAAGTATCGCTAGTATATCTAGTATATCAATAAGCAAATGGACTATGCAATATATTAATTTGCAACACTGACTATCCTGTAGGCTTTCACTTGTATGCATAGCTTCCATTCAGAAGAACACTGTGAACATCATAATCCATAGGATGTAACAGCTGGACAGAACCTGGAAAGGAAGACCCTCATTTACTAAAGAAACTAAGGGCATGGGAGGGTAGGAGTCCCCTGGATCCCAGGGACACTCAGAGCTTCCAGGGCTAGCGCACACCATGCCGGTTTCCATTGGTGTGGCTGGAGTGCACAGGCCATTGGCTCGTGGTGGTGAGGTCCTCTAGCTCTGCTGGACAGAGTCTCCCTTAAGGGCTCAGCTTGTGCTCAGATACACCTGGGCTCGTCACCCTAGCAAGTCTTAAGTCACCCTCATCGTCTGTCTTCCCTTGCTCAGATCTGGAAGGTCAGAAAAGCAGAGAATGTGCACCTGACAAATCCAAAAATGCCAGAGCCCCAGGGAAGGGTCTTTCTGTTTGCCATATAGAAGGCTCTCTCTCACCGGGCTGCAGCAGAGCAACTGCACATCCTCCAACCCTTTCTGACTTATACCCAAGCAGGGTGCGCTTTACCATGCCTGGACCAATGCTTTGGCAACTTAGGTCCTGAAATTTAATTATCTTCCATTAGCTTCAATTTCCAACCTTTTGATTAGCCAGAACAAGTGTGGGGCAGCAGGGGAAAGGGGGAGAGGAGGAACATGAGCCTCATAGGAGCATTCATCTGGAATGCTGCTTAGCGCCAGTTTGGCAGGGGGGAAAAAAAGGTTAGACCAGCACATGGATACGAAAACGCCACAAGGAAGAAGTTAATGGAAATGATAATGCCAGCACCCCAGGGCTATCTCTCAGACCCTCCGGTGTGTGGATTCAATCTCTGCACTTGGGCGTGGCTAGACAGTCCCACGCTCTTGGTGGTTTAGCCCTTTTCAGTGCCATCTGCCTGGCATGGGCCTGACTTTAAAGGCAAATCCATACCCAACAGAACCGAGGAGAGCAATCAGAATGCGACACCCCACCTTGTCTGCCAAGCAGTGGATGCCCTTTGTGCAAAAGAACTTCTGAAGTTTGTTGAGCCTAAGTAGGAGGAAACACAGCTTCCTCTGAACTGTCTTCTGGATCTGCCTCTTTCTTCCAACTCACGGCAAAGACCCTAACCAGAAGCAACCTTGCTCAGGAAGTATGGACCACAAGCAAGACAACTTCACTTATTTACAACAAGCAGGAGGGTGTAGGTCTGCAAAGGATGCAAGCAAGGGCTTGCTGAGCTGACAGTTTGCTCTGAAAGACTTCATAACGGCACCGGTGCCCCTAAATTGTAAAGAAAGCACAGAGGCTAACTTACCCAAAGTGACTGGATAAGTTCATGGAAATACAAAAGAGAAGGAGGTTTTTGATCATGATAAAGCTAGAGAACATTCCATTGTCCATTCCCAGTAAGAATGATGGTCGAAGCAGATCAATTTGGAAGAATCGCTGTTCTTCTTTCCAACTTAATCTTGAAGCTGAAAGCACACAAAGGGGGAAAGCATATGAACCTGAACGTTTTTGTGTCACTACACTGGAATGAAGTCATACTGGTACTGCACGCACTTAACAAAGAAAAGGAACCTGCTGTCATTGCCCAGCACACACACGCCAGGTGTTTTCCATTCCCTTCCCTGGGCAGTAAGGTGGGATGTAAAAAGTTACAGCACGGCTTAATTTTGCATTTACTCGGAGTGTAGAATCATTCTGATTGTTTTCCAGGTCTCAAACACTGTTTTATTTTTTAGCACATTATTAAATGGTCCATTAGTCCAATTATTAAAATAAATGCCTGACATTATCTGAGCAACTGTATTCTGTATCTGTCAAATCCACAAGTGGAATAAATTTACCTTTGTGAAATATTGGCCACTCATTCACAGCCAACACGCGATTCCTTGTGCTGCAAGATGCTGAGAGAAAGCATGCAGAAAGAGGGAGAAAAGGGACGTTTAAGAAACAAGTCTTACACAAATCAGGATAACAGAAGAGCTGCCTATGAGACCACCCTGGCGCTTTCTCCACATCCTGCCCGCAGGACTAAAGGACCTAATCGCCGCATTTGGGGAAGTCTCTCAGTTCCAGCCTGGACGCTAATTAAAGCATCTGAAATTCAGGCAGACTGTCCCTGGACTCTACCCTTAAAGAAGGCACATATTTCTCAACATGCGCATCACGCAAATAGGTGCTCCTGATAAGCGAACAACCGGCAGTTCGCAAAGGAACGTTTTTCCGGGGAAAACCCCCAAAACTCCAGAATGGGGAAGCACACAACAGGTACTTGCCCCTCCCAAGCCAAGGCCCCGCAACTCCCGAGGAGGGCAGGGTGCCTGCCATGCGGTGATCGCCGGCCGCTTCCCGGGCTAGTCGCCGGACCGGGTGGCGAGCACGCGGCGCTGCATGCGGGAACCTGGAGCCCCGCCGCCCCCAGCCGAGCCCTGAACCACAGGGCGGCCGCGCGCCCTCGGACCCGGACTGCGCCGCGGCTCGGAGTCCAGGGCCAGTGCCAGGCAGGTGGGGCGCGGGCGGCACTGCGGAGCCGCAGCGCAGCCCCGCACCTGCCCAGCCCACGGCGCGGACCCCGGCCGCCGCCCGTTCCACACCGTTCTCCGCGCCGAGTCGGCCGGAGCCCGAGCCCACCGGTGGCTCCTCCTCCGCAGCTGCAAGCGCGCGGTGCAGTGGCGCCTCCGAGTCCCTGGCCTCGAGCAGCCCGCGCGACACGCGCGCGACACCCCGGCGAGCCCGCGCCCACCCGCGAGCGCCGCCAGGACCCCGCGCGGGCACGGAGCCTCGGGGCCGCACCGCCGGCTCCCGCGCAGCGGCGGCGGCGGCAGAAGTCCCCACCCGACTCCTACCGGGACCGCGAGCGTCCGCGCGGCGCCCGGTCCGGCCACGCTGCACTCCGGGCGCTGGGCCCTCCGTGGCGGTGGCTCCCGCAGTCGCCCGGGAAAGTTTGCGCTGCGGCCGCCCGCGGCACCCTTCCTGCTTGCCACCTCCGTCCGGGTGGTGCGCCCCGGGCTCAGCGCCCGAGCAGCGTGGAGCCGGCGAGCTCTCCGCTCCTGCCCGGCCGAGCCGTCGGCGAGGCGCCTCCTCCTCCTCCCGGCGCCCGCTCGCGTCACCGCCCCACGCCCTGGGCGCCAACTTGCAGCGCCGGATGGGGGATCGGGCCGCGCCTCGCCGCTGCGGACCGCGCCGCCACCGCGCGGCTCTCACCCGGCCGGGCGCCACAAGTCGGCGCGGGGACGCCCTCTGCAGAGGCTCCGGCCGGCAGAGGCCGCCACTCAGCGCGCGCGGCCTGCTCGGCGCAGGGGGCGGGCGCAGGCCCGCGGCTCGGCCTGCCTCGGGGGCTCTGCATTTCTGCTGAAGTTTCCCCAGGGCCCTGGACGCATGTCGGTGAGCTCCGGGGTCGGCACGATCCCCTCTGGCCACACAGGGAAAGGTCGCGTCCGCAAGCGGCAGCCGTGACAGCGACGCGGGCCTGGCCAGGAGCCTCCTCTCGGTGCAGCCGCGCCTGCACGCCTGCCTCAGCCCCCTCCTCGCCGCCCTCCGGTGCGTCCTGTCTCTTAGGCCTTTCCGAAAGAGGCAGACATGGGAAAAGCCTTTCTGCTTAGTCCCATTGCTTTGGAAGGGAAAGCAAGACTAGAGCTGGAGATTAGAATGCAGCCCTTCCCTAACTGCAGCTGCAATCGGGATTTCCGAAATTCCAGTTTTTGAGGATTCGGCGCGGTGTCGTTGGGGCCCGGTGCCACCGGGGTTTGCAGATCTGGAAGTCGCTCCCAGGGTGGGAGCTCCTCAGTACATCCAATCACCCGAACGTACACAGGGTTTTACGTTGTCACCGTGTCTGTCTCCTCTAGCAATGGTGTCTGTCCTTCCCAGAGGTGAGGGAGCCCTGAGGACAACTGGGGAGAAGCAGGATCCCCTTCAGACAACGCTAGCAAACGGACCCTGAAGCAGAACACCCTGAGTTTCAGTGTTGTGTTGTGGCTCACGCGAGGTGGGTGCCTCTTGCCGATGAGGACGCCCAGGGAAAATGTCCTGGAGAACTCGGTATTTGTGCTGTTGCCCCACACCTTTTGGGAGAAGACTGCCTTTTAACAGTGTCTTTATCCTGTCTTTTAACAGTGATTGTGGAGGAAGCCAAGTTTCTGACTCTCCTCTAGAAAAGCTCTTCCAGGCTACAAAGCCCCTCCTTTTCCAGTTATGCCTGACACAGGGTATTCCCATCTAAACTATCTTCTCGTATTTTGGCACATTCCAGAAATTTTCCCCAAATAAGAAATTGTAATATATTCCAGATACAAAGCATGAATATACAGAAACTTACTCTGCTAACACATTTAGACTTAGTATTAACTCAGATTCTAGTGGTTCTTTGTGAACTGTAAATAAGATACCAGTTCAAAAGGCTTTTGTAATTCTAAAATGATATACTGACATATTTCTTTATCTGAGTTCTCAAAAGACAGAGTCCTTTCACAGTTGCTGTAGTTTGGGGATTTTGCAGGTGGGGGAGCCTGGGGGCTGGTGGTCATTGGCCTGTGCACTAGAAGGGAATGCTTGGACCCCAGCCCCTTCGCTTTCTTTTTGCTTCTGGGCAGTTACGGGGTGAGTAGACCACGCGGTGTAACATGCTTCCCATTGGCCCAGTGGCAACAGGACTCAGTCACCTCTGAAACTGCCCTCCTTACAAGATGTTTATTTCAGGTATTGTGTCACAGTGATGCACAACTAACACAATAGTCAAAGCCATTAAATTAGAGAGAATGGTATGATTTTGTAATTGACTTAATATTCTTTTCACCTACTGGGTGTTGGAATTCCAGATGTAGAAATACCAAATACAGCTGACCTTTTTAGATTAAACAACATAATGCAAATTAAAAGATTCAAACAATTAGTGAATTTAAAGCTTTATAGATCGCTACGCAAAGTCATTCCACACATTTTTGCAAAAAAAAGGAACAAGGATTTACTTTTGTATTCATGAGAGTTATGGATATTAATTTTCATGGGCGAAATGTTAACTGATAAGTAAATATATCTTTTGATGGATTACATTTACAATTTTCTTTTTTGAATTTCTATCAGCTTCATGTTAACAAATGAAAGTTAACTTCTTATTTTACTTTTATTTGTACACGTTTGCAGTATGTAATGGCTACACTCCTCATGAGTTGGCATATGTACATACCACAGTTTAATTCTTTTTATGTCTTCCTCCTTCCCCTCTGCATATGTTCCATTCTTTGAAACTGTATTTAAACATGTTGCTTAAACACTCTTCTCTCCTGTGATGCAATGGTACCTCAGGACCTCCTCATAATGATTATATAACGCCTAACACAGCCTGCGCTAGATGGACTGTCTGAGGGGGCAGAGAAACAAGGCAATCCAGAATCTTGGAGAAGTCACGTTGCTAAAACAATGCCATTACCACTTCAATCATTCTTGCTGTGATGTGGAATTCCCTGTTTGTGTTGAGAAATCATGATCTAGCAATGGAATTCCCATTCGTCCCATTAGCATTTTCCCTTTTACTGAATGAAATTAAGCAACATAATTATAATTCTAGGAAACAGTAGAGGGCACTGCAGTTCCACAAAACCCCAATGCTACACGAATTTCCAGCTTGAAAGTCTAAAACAGCGGAGCTTGAGGAGGCTGGGCAATGGATGGAAAGCGCTGCCTCTGTACCCACTAGACACAGAGCAGCTGCTGCATCTACAAGAGGCTGGCAGGGTGGCTGTGTCGGAGGGGGGTGGGGGACAGCAGAGGCCCCGAAACATGACAACAATGTCAAGTGTCATGAGACTGTGCAGCATCTGTCTTCTGGTGCTTGGCTAATTTCTCTTAGCACAGAGTCCTCCAGCCTGTGCCTGTCATTGCAGATGGCAGGACTTCCTTCCTGTTAAGGCTCAAGAACATTCCATTGCATGTGCCATTTATCTATCAGTGGAAGTTTAGGTTGCTTCCATAGCTTGGATATTGTGAAATATGCTAAAGGGAACACGGGAATGCTAGTGTCTCTTCCAGATAGGGATTTTATTTCCTTTAAATCTATACCCAGAACTGGGGACAGGGGATGCAGCTTAGTAGCTCAGTGGTAGCATGCAAACGTGGTATCTTATCTATCTATCTGTCTATCTATCTATCTATCTGTCTGTCTATCTGAATGTAGGTATTCTTCCAATATGAGATCATATGGTAGTTGCTGGCTGGAGGTTGGGGTCACGAGGAAAGGGGAGATGTCGGTCAAAGCATACAAAATTTCAACTGTGCAGGGTGTGTAAGTTCTGGAAAGCACTGTACTGCACTGAGACTGCAGTTAACAATGCTGTGTTGGATTTTGAGATCTCATTACACACACAGAAAAGATAGTGACTCTGTGCAGCCATGAGCTTGGCTGTGGTGATCGTGAGACTGTATTACACACAGATACATTTATCAGGGTGAGCATCTGACTTGCCAGGTATACCTCAATGGAGAAAAAGGGAGAGCAGTATCCTCCTGAGGAAGGAGAGCCTGGCTAAGGTGGGAAGCTGAATGAAGGATGTTCTCAGCTGAGAGTCCATATGTGTAGAATGAAACACGTTCATGTCTTTATGAAGAAATCAAGCACAGGGTAAACACAGCAAGAGATGAGATGAGCTAGGTATCTGGGACCAGGCAGGAAAAGACAGGAAACATAGAACCAAGACATTGATTTCCTCCTGTGACATTTAGGGAGCCACTGAACAAACAGTTTTGGTGTCTTGAGAAGAACATGAGGCTGGAAAAGAACCTCCCAGCATCCAGGCTGAGTGAAAACGTTGAGCAGAGGAAATCTAAGCTAAAAGCCAACCTAGATGTCGTGAGCACAACACACAGCCAGCCTAGTGTAGGAATTTAGTAAACGAGCTATTTCATTAATGCAATGATAAATTGGTAAATAGGTAATATCAATTCACATGTACTCAAAGCACTTGCGTTTTGTCCAAATGGAAAAAAGACCTTTCTTAAAAAGAAAGGCCAAATCTGACTGGAAGAATTGAGAAAATTCCATGAAAAGATGTCAGTTGATTTAGACCCTAAAAAAAATGAGTTGGACAGAAAATAATAGAAAAGGCAACAAAAAGAGTTGGAACAAAGGCAGGAAGGTGCAAGGTAAGTAAGCTCTGTTTGTTTATAAAAAGTACACTACGGGGCTGGGGATTTAGCTCAGTGGTTCTGCCGCCTGCCTCTCAAGTGTAAGGTCCTGAGTTCGATCCCTGGTACCAAAAAAAAAAAAAGTACACTACAGATGTTTTTATGTCACAATTTGTTTCTTTTCTTTTTCCTATTATTTAAATTAAAGCTCTCAAATTAGTCATAAATTTGAGAAGCCTGCATATACATGACAGAATTCTTTTAGTACCAGGAAAGGAAACCTAGAGGTCCCTATTACACCCCCAGCCTCACCCTCCGGAATGCTAGGATTACAGGCATGTGTCACCAGGTCCAGAGGACAAACATGTTGTAACTAGCTGACATTATTTTAAAACAGAGGCAGCATTTAAGAAGAAGCTTACATAAATGTATGGATTAGTGACTCTATCTAGATTTCTGGATTTTCTTTAAAATGCAGGCATGCACACACACACACACACGCAGATTCAGCAGTGTGGGGTACACATCCCCACCGCTTGCCTGACCCCCACCCGATTACACTGGGCCTACACTCCGCAGGCAAAATAGCCTGTACTTTTCTATCCTTGGCCTCATTTGTATAACTCAGAAAATACAGGCCACTGAGACCTTTAAAAGATGTACAGCATTTTTGGATTCCACTTTATCTCCATTATCAACTGATCAGTTTCTTTTTTATTTGATATGAAGGTGACTTGAGTTTAAAATAGCCTGATAGTCTACCTTTAATTAACATTACATCATTTTATGTATGGCATCCTGGGA